ATCTATGTATCTATGTATCTATGTATCTATGTATCTATGTATCTATCTATCTATCTATCTATCTATCTATCTATCTATCTATCTATCTATCTATCTATCTTAGCAGGGATTGTTCCACTGTGAGGGAATAACCACATAAAGTCTGTGAGTTTTGCACATATGGTGTCTGGTCACCCTCTGTCAGTCCTCACCATTCTCTATCACGCATGTCTGGGTCTCTTGAAGATGCTGCTGTTGTAGGAGGAAGACCTGACACCCATCTTCCAGGTTCTCTTTGTATAGTCTTATTGAGCTCTGGGGTCCTGATTTAAGCATACTGTTATAAGTCCATATAACAACAGACTATGCTGTAAGATAGAATGTCAATGCCTTTGACTTGTTAAGCCTTAGTCCCAAGACTATGTCATAACCTCACATCCTACCTTCCCCATACCTACTTCCATGAATAATGGAGTAATATTAGCAACTTTGTCCTTTCCCCACTCAGTTTCTTCTTTGGCTAGTTTATCTGGTGGCAGAATAATTGGGGTTTAGAAATTCCAAGTCTCACTGAAGGTAATCAGTTCTACTTTATACTGCAAAGTGAACTTGATATAAAACTTGTTATATAACCAACATAAGGCACTCTGAAGAAATCAGAAATGTAGTAGAAGCATCTACCTTTTGAAAAATATGGACGTCTATTCCAATATGTGGCGCTGAGGGCTAATGTGCTGGATTGCAAGATTGGTTTGAATCACAAGGTCGGTGGTTCAAGCTCACCAGGCACTCCTCAGAAACCCTATACGGGATCGCTGTTAGTTGGAACCAAGTTGACTGCACATAACAACAACAACATTCAAATATGAGCTATGTGATTTTGAGTAAGTGAGTTAATCTCTGAGTCTTGGCTTTCTTATGATGAAAGATCCTCTCTTTTGTGTTGTGAGGATTAAGTATGTATGTAACTGGATCATATAAACATTTCATGGAAGCATTGTTACAAGCGCAAATCCTGTTTTGGGAATGATATCAATCAGTCAGTGATTGTCCTTTTGTCCAATTGCCTTGAGCAGAATATGTTTTGGGAAAACTAAAAGTAGAATGCAAATTTAGGAGGTAGAAGAATGACAACAGTCTTCAAGGTCTGAAAGGATGTTTTTAGTTTTTCAATGAAACGCCTTTGATTTCTGATTCCAGGCTGTCATCGCTTGCACTTTAAACCATGTCTCCTACAAGTAATGTGACTGAGATAATTTTCTTGGGATTTTCCCAGGACCGGAATATGCAGAAGATCATTTCTGTGGTGTTTCTGCTCATGTACACAGGCATTGTACTGGGCAATGGTCTCATTGTGGTGACCATTGTGGCCAGCAAAGGCCTCACTTCCCCCATGTATTTCTTCCTCAGCTACTTGTCTTTTGTGGAGATCTGCTATTGCTCTGTTACAGCCCCCAGGTTCATTGTCGACTCTTTTATTGAGAAGAAAGTAATTTCCCTCAAGGGATGCATCGCACAAGTATTTTTCCTCCATTTCTTCGGTGGCACTGAAATCTTTCTCCTGACGGTAATGGCCTACGACCGTTATGTGGCCATCTGCAAGCCTTTGCACTATGTGACTATCATGAACCGACGTGTGTGTGGTCTCTTTGTGGGAGCCGCTTGGGGTGGGGGCTTGCTGCACTCTGCAGGTCAAACATTCCTTATTTTCCAACTACCTTTCTGTGGCTCCAACATCATTAATCATTACTTCTGTGACGTTCACCCTCTGTTGAAGCTGGCTAGCTCTGACACCTTCCTTATTGGCCTGCTCATCATTGCCAATGGTGGCTCCATTTCGGTGATTAGCTTTGCTGTGCTTCTTGCTTCCTATGTGGTCATCCTGCGCTCACTGAGAAACAAAACCTCTGAGGGGCGGCGCAAGGCCCTCTCCACCTGTGCCTCACATGTTGCAGTTGTGGGTCTGTTCTTCATACCCTGTTCCTTTGTTTACATGAGGCCCTGTGTCACATTTCCAGCAGACAAGATAGTGGCTGTGTTTTACACAGTGGTCACACCACTCTTAAATCCCATCATTTACTCCTTCAGGAATGCTGAGGTGAAGAATGCCATGCAAAGACTGATGGTGAGGAAAGTGATTTGGGAAGAGAAATAGATGGCAGAGCAGGGACAAGAAATTGGGGCACCAAAGATCTTACTCTGCCTCTACCTTTAATGGATAGAGTGTTTTTGGATTAATTACCTTCTTTCTCTAGGTTTCAATTCTTTCCATTTTTATGAAGGGGAGAAGGAAGGATTGCTTTCTTTTGGGCTGGCCAAACTGTCTAGAAGAGTTAGTTATCAGAACAGAAGACTTGTAGATTATTTTATCAGCACCTTCACATGAGCTCTTGTAAACAGTAGACTCAACCTTCTAATGAAACAAAATGAAGCCTCCAATGAAATTTGAAGTGATTCCAAAGCTCTGCTTAATGCTATCCACTTTGTAAGTAAAAGCTGTATTTTCCATATAGCATTATCAATTTTTTTCCCTCTAAAATTCTCTTTTGTTCACACCTACGTCCTCTTATTTCCCTTCCCTCCCCCATGTTTCTTCCTTCTATGCATCCAGTTGTTTGGCCTATTAACTTTCTCTCAGATTATCAGATCCTTCTTGAGTTCTCTTGCTTTCAACTGTTCCAACAAAGCGTCCATGTAACCTACTTTCATGCTACCAGATACCTTGACAATGTACATAAATGTGTCCTCTACCTTTCCAACTCCTTTACTCTGAATTAAGATGTGGGCTTAACGGCTTTTGAGGCCTCATTGTTTCCCTGCAATTGTTTATCCATGTTCTTTGAGTCCTATCTCCTGATCCTATCACCCCAGACATTAAGAATGTACCTCCAAGCTCTTAACTACAGTCTTAGAAAATCACAGCAGGTGATTTTGTACACATACTTCCAGATAAGCCATTCTAAAACATTTCTTTGATTCCATCATTCCCCTCCTCAAAATCCTTCAATGCTTAATTAACTACAAATATGTTCAAAGTATGTCCTCTTCATGTTCTACCTTTGTGCTGAATTGCAGTCTGCTAAATCCACGGTTTCTGAACATCCTTCTGAGCCTCTCTCATTCTTATCAGCATCCTATCCACAATCCAAGACCCAGCTTTCATGATGATCCCATATGGACATGGCCTGTTCCTTCTATAAACTCCTACCTACAGCACTTGAACTCCTTGAAGGTCTTTACTACCTGAAATTCCTTTTTCAAATCCACCACCATTAGATTGTTATTGGTTTGAGAATAAGACCTGGATTTTACTCTGCTGTGTATATTTTATGCTAAATAAACATTGTAAAATAATAAATCCTTGGTTAATTAGATTTTTAGAGGTTATTTATGCTTCATCTTTTAAGTGAAAAAATGGTTGGTGTATCTCTGTTTTCATCTCAATGATCTTAATAATATACCAATGTTCCCACCACCTAAGACATAACAATAATTATCCCTGACATTGTTTCTATGAATAAAATTTAAATATAAATGATGTATATGTGTGTGTTTATTTTATAATTTACCAAGTGCTTTCACATATCTTACTTAATTGATACTATAACTTATAACAGCTTGGCGAGCTTGGTGTGATTTTCTGTTTTATAGATGAAGAGACTGTGAGAATTCTGTGGCTTTGTTGTTGTTGTTGAGAAGATACACTGCAAACCATACACCAATTCAATTGCTTCTAACTGTCTAATTCGGTGACATTGATCACATTCTTTGAGTTGTGCAACCATTCTCTCCCTCCTTTTCTGAGTTGTTCCTCCCCAGTTTACATAAAACCTGCCTCCTTAGGTTCTAGTGAATCTTTTGTATTGCTGTTACCTGATTATCCCGTACAGATAGTTC